ATGTGTTTTGTGCTGTGTAACAGCAGTACAAAACGCATATTGTCACGGGATTGTCTGTGTGTGTGTCCACAGTAACTTGTCCGCAACTTTCAAGTCGAGAACCATAAAAGCTAGGAAGCTGAAAATTTAGGGAAATGTTCCCAATCCATGTGCTACCTGAAAATTTAAATCCAGCTTCCCCTGCCCGCGGTTACGATGTATTGGTCTCGTGAAAATTTTGACGGGTAAATTATTATCTCGGAAATCACAAAGTCTACGAAGCTGAAATTTTAGGGTAATGACCCTGTATTATCTCGGGAATCACGAAAGAATATTCGCCTTTCAAGGTTTCAAATTCTGTTTTCATGCGCCGGTGCTTCAAATTTTTAACTATTTTTCAACGTCTCAACTATTTTTGTGCGAAATTAAGTGCAAAGCAGTAAAAATCATTAATAGGCAATCATTCGGTGAGCGGAATTGCACGAAACGCATGATCGCACAGCTAGTCTGGTGCGCGTTGCTATTTATTATTATTTATTCGTTTGGCTGGACACAAAATGAAATATTGCGAAAAAAAAATGAACCAGGGCATAGCTCCTTGAGTATGCAATTGGTGCCGTTGAGCACAAAGCCTTTTTTGCAAAAGCAACCACTAACACATATAAAAGTGCATAATTCTGGTTTTCCGGCGCATGTTTCTGGGCATGCTGTCCCACAGTCCTGGTACTCCTGATTTGGCCCACATACTGACGCTTCTTCTGCAACAAGCCATATATCAGTTGCATATTTTTTGAAATCACAGGAAAAATTTTGTTTGCTCGAAATTCGTGCAGTTTTTCAATAGAGAAGTATATTGGAAATGTGAAAGCTTTAAGCTGCAGTGTATATGAAGTAATAATAGTTTAGCTGGGATTATAGTAGTCTCGGTCCAACAAATTGCACAGTTCGATGAATTCAAAACAACACTCTCCTGTGCTGGACTTCTGTTTTTATAGTTTTTCGACATGCTTACTAAGTGCACCCATCAGCATCACAGGCAATCCTTCGAGAGGTCGCTGTTTGTTTTATGAACCAATAAATTAAAACTCTCTCTGTATTCACTCTCTGTAAGAAGCTGAAGCATTCAGGAAGTAGCTTGATTAGTGGCAAATGCCAACATCAACCACTCGCTGGCAAAACTATCGATAACTCCTGAGGATTGCTTATAAGCGAGCTGGAGTACCATTCCTAACAACTGATGTTCAGAAAAGCGATAAATTGCCGTTTTCTTGAATTCTTTAATAATTTTAGTGAAAAAATATTCAGAATAACTCTTAGGCTCACTGGAATTGCAAAGATGCCGTGGAATACAACAGCCTCCGCGCTTCTCGCGAACGAAACCGCTCTTACAATAGCATCCCGAAATGCATTTCTCAGAGCACTGGAATTGTTCATTTACACCGATAGTGTCACAGGTTTCTTCACAAACACTGCCACATTCCTTGTATTCTTCCAGTGTTGAGCAGTGCTGTGATGGTGGAGCTAGAAAAAGAAAATTCAATTGTTAAATTTCATTTAAAAAGCAAAATTCTGCCAAATTTGCATTATATATCAAAAATACCAAGACTGCTCGAGCTATATCGGTGTGAGCATCTCTTGTTAGTGATGTTTGGAATGCTCCCATACGCAGAAAGCAGTATAATTTGTAAAAGACAAAGTGCTACTAGTAACAACAATAGTATTAGTGATAATGATAATGGCAGTAATAAAACAGTGATAATAATAACAATAAACAACCCAGGCTGGAACGCACCAGGCGAGCCGGTGCGATCTTGCGTTTTTGCATCAGACTTTGAGGTACTCCATCAAATTTCCCTGCCTTTTTGAAATGCAAATTTC